AGGTGCAGGTAACTCCGATCACTGCCTTCTGTTGTCACGTTTGCTGCACTCGATCTCAGTGGTGTGTGTGTTCCAGATGTCATAAAGGATCCATGTGTGGAGAAGGAGCATGGACAAGCAGGAATGTGTCCTCCACCTCTCAGACGCTCAGCTCTTTGTTCACAAGGTCTTCTGTCTTAGCCTAAATCTCAACTTTTTCTTATTTTAAAATTAGAAAACCATACACCTTAGAATTTATGGAGAACAGCTATGAAGTTGTGTGTATAAGGGTCTCTGGTAGTGTGCTTGGCACGAAGTTCACAGTAAATATCTCTTTTTTTCTTCCTTATTCTCGTAAGCACCCTCTTACAAAATACCCTACTTTGCACCCTCAGAACTGGAGACCCTGCTCTCGGTCCCGCTAAGTGTCTGCATCGAGCGTCCTATCATTTTGGAGAGGAAGCAAGTCTCAAAGTCTCAGTCCAGACTCTGCTGCTCAGCACTGACGCCTCTCCTGCTCCTCTGCTGTTAGCCTTTTGTGCATTGTAAAGCTTCCAGGTTCTTTCGGCAACACCAGCCCTGCCCTGCCGGAGCAGCGTGGCCGGGACAGCTTCTTCACTCTTCTCATCCATCCTGTCCTCCTTTAACAATTGTTCAAAAGGAGCACAAATTTTGATATTAGTTATACGAAATGTTAAACTTCCAAAATGATTACCTTTTGGAAAAAATTAATCTTTAAGTGTGTGTCAAAAGATTTTTTTCCTAGAGCCTTTCTTTGTGTTCAGGAATATAACACACATGCACAGGATATTCTGCGGTTAGAATATTAATCTTTCTCAATTTGCATGACACCTGCCTGCCTCTGCTGACGGAAGCCTGCTCCCCTTGGCGGATGACGCTCCCGCACCCGCCTCCGCTCGGGTCTGCGGCTGCGCATGCGCCCACGCCCAGCATGCACCGCGGCTGCGCATGCGCCCACGCCCAGCATGCTCTGCTGCTGCGGCGGGGTGTCGAGGGGCTGAGGCCGCTGGGCGTGCAGGAGGAGCGGAGCACGAGCTGCAGTCAGGTGCGTCTGCAGCCCTGGGGCGCCAGGGCCTGAGGGAGGAGCCTGCCCTCCTTCCCTGAGGCCCTGGCGGAAGAGGGTTGCCTCGGTGGGTGTGGATGCCTCTCGGCCGGCCTTGAGTTGAAGAGGAAGGCCAAGGCAGGCCTCGAGCGCCCGGGTCCCACAAGCAGGGAAGGTGGCTTGCCGGGATTACTCTGCAGCACTTGCTGAGCATAGCTAAATGTGAGAACATCCTCAGTCTTGAACAGTAAAAGCCCACGACTCGAGGGCAGCTCGGTAGTCTTAAGCTTTTCTTTGTTTTTGAATTTTTGTGTGTGGTTGTCTGTGCGCCACACGCATTCAGTGTCCAAGGAGAGCAGAAGAGGGTCAGGGACCCCAGGGCTGGCGGTTCAGGGGACAGGGTGCGGGGGTTGAAGCCCGTCCTCCGGGAGAGCAGCCGCACTCTAAGCGCGGGCCCTCACACTCCTGCGCTGTGGTCCAGGTTCCTTTCAGCAGTAGGCCACCAGTTGGAGGCGTGGTGATGGCGCTGAAGTTAGGGCGCTCGGGAGGGGATGCGTTCCTGTCGTGACTGCTAGCCTACTTTGGAACGTTGCCTTCCTAGCCCTAGTTTTCTGATTTCTAATCTTCAACACTGCACCTTTGGGAACTTACTGACCCCAATACTTTTCCCACTTTTCCATGCTCAAAATCCCTTCCCGTATGGTTTGTTTTCAAACCTAAGTATAAACAATGTACGTTATAAGTTATGTAAGTTAAACAAATGTTATCTCTTGCTGATCCACACACACCAAGCAGCTCAGGTTCTAGCTATAAACATTGCCATGTCTGCATTGCATGGCTGTATCATCACGTAGCTGCCATTAGGGTGGGAGGTGAAGCCACTTCATTCAACACGGATCAAGTGCTGGGTTACATAACACCGCAAGCAAAATGTCGTTCCTCTCAGAGACCTATTGTCATCTCTTCATTCATGCAGTAAATGAGGAAATTAGGGAGCAGCTGGTTTCAACTCAGCAGGAAGAACTTGCTGATTATTAGAGCTGTTCAAAAGTGGAGTGAAACTGCCTTGGATACTAACTCCGGCACCCACAGTGACTCAGGTTTGCATTGGTTGGTTTCTAAATTTTGCTATGAACTACTTCTGTGTTAGGTAATATGCAGAATATAAATTTAGTTTGCATTAAAAATTTTATGCCTTAGTTGGTGAAATAAAATACATCTGTAAATCTTATGGAGAAAATATGCTAAGTGCTGTATAGAGTAAGGCAAATTCTGAATAAGTCTCATTTCGTTTGAAGGCTCAGTTTCTTGGAGTAGACAGAACTTCTAATAAGCTTTTAAGGAAAATTATTTTGTAGGTGAACTTTTATTATTTTAAAGATTTATTACTTGGGAGTTGGAGAGACAGCTCAGCAGTTAAGAGCACTGTCTGCTCTTCCAGAGGACCAGAGTTCAATTCCCAGCACCCACATGGTCCCTCACAACTGTCTGTAACTCCAGTTCTGGCCTCTGTGGCCACTAGGTACACACGTGGTGCATAAACATGCATGCAGGAAAACAATTCTCTGTTAAAGGTTTTACTATTTTCAGTTTTGCATATGGTGTGAGTCTGTGTGGGTTTGTGCATGTGAGTGCTGGTGCCCAAGGGTGCCAGAGACATCAGATCCTCTGAGTCATAAGTGGTTTCTAGCCCCTGCTGTGAATTCAGGGACTCAGACTTTGGTCCTCTACAAGACTAATACACACTTTCAACTTTGGAGGCATTTCTTCCGTCCTGAGTAAGCTATCTTTAGAACACTCCAATTTACACAAAATTGAGATAGTAATGCAGAGTATGTCCTTGTGGTTTGAATGAGAAGGGCCCTGTAGGCAGTGTGTTTGCATACTTGGTCCCCAGTTGGTGGAACTGCTTGGGAAGGATTAGGAGGTGTGGCGCTGGGAGTGGGCTTTGAGGTTTCAACAGCCCACACCACTCCCAGTTAGGCCGCCTCTGCCTCATGCTGTGGGTAAGATGTGAGCGCTCAGTTGCTTTCCACTGCCTGCTGCCGTGCTCCCCTCCATGATGGTGGAGGACTCACCCTCTGGAGCCACCGTATAGCCCGATACCCAGTTCCTGTTGTTATTAATAATAACGCATTTGCTCAGTTTTCCCATTAACATGTTAGCATGGCGGGCCTGCTGCAGTTAATGAACTGACTTTGCTACATCATTACTAACTGAAGTCTAAGTTTGTTCAAAGGTTTTTACTTTCTACCCAATGTTTTTGGGTTTTTTTTTTTTCTGTTCCAGGATCAAAATCTGGATAATACATTGAGTTTAATTGAAATACTTCCATAGGTACTTAGGCTGGAATGTTTCAGATTGACTTTAATGGCTGTGACTTCTTTATGGAGTGCTATTCAGATCATTTGTAAGATGACTTTCTGTTGAAAGGTGTTTTCCTTTGGATCAGATGGTTTACTGAAAGGAAGGCTTTATCGCGTCAAAGACAGACTCTGGCGACATGCTTCCTGGTCATCAGTGCAGACTGTAGCAGTGAATAGGTAGGATTGGCAGGGTTCCCCAGTGCGAAGCTGCTACCACCCCGTTCCATACTGCTCTCTTTGGCTGAAGGTCACCCTGGGCAGCCTCACTTAAAAGGGTTTTGTTTTTCCAGACAGGGTTTCCCTGTGTAGCCCTGGCTGTCCTGGACTCCCTTTTTAGACCAGGCTGGCCTCGAACTCACAGAAATGGGACTTCCTCTACCTCCCTGAGTGCTGGATGCGTCACACCTGGCTACCTAAAGGTTCCTAAAGTTGGGTCTGTGTCCGTTGTACAGAATCCCTGTCTGCTGGGGGTGGGGTGGCACACAGAGACCAGAGCGAGCCACTGGGTGTCTTCCTCGTTGCTCTGTTCTCCATTTCTTGGCCTGAGATAAGAGTTAGTGACCCGGAAACTCAGCTAGGATAATTGGCCAGTGAGTTCTCAGGATCTGTCCGTCTCTGCCGTTGAGTGCTAGAGTCACACGCATTGCCGTACCTGGCTTTGTCCACGGGTGCTGGGGGTCCAGACTCAGCGCGGCCTTCATGTTGCAGAGCCAAGAGCTCTTGTACAGGAAGCCCAGCACAGTCCCCACCCAGGAGTTAGTTTAAAATGGTATAATGTGGACTCCTAAAGAGTTGTTTTGTGCGTTAGACTGTAACACAGTACTGTTTTCTGTTTGTTTTTTCCATTCAAACTGTTGCACTCACCTTTGGCCATTTCTTTAGCCTCCCCTGCCCTTATTTCCCTGTCAGTGTGGTTTGTTTTTTGTGTTTGTTTTTGAGTATGCCCTTACTTCTGGGCAGCACAGTCTCCTGGCTTCTCTTACATATTTCTCACTTGTGACCTACAGTCAGCTTTTTCTCCAAGCACCCTCTATTCTTTATTGGAGAAGTCTACAAAACCCAGTTTGGTTGCTAGAGTACATGTCTCCTAGCGGGTGGGATCTGCCTGCAGAATAGAATTCAAAATTGCCTGTAAAAGGTTAATGGTTCTCTTCCTGCATTACAACCTACTCTATGCTCGTATGTCACTTGGCCTTTGTCCCATGGGCCCATGGGGATGGGTATAAGAACTTCCAGAAATGCTAATATTGAGCTGTTCTGTGTTCCTACTGTGGGTAATAACTGTGGGTAAGAACTGAGTTTTCATCTTCTATTTGTATCCTGATATTGGTAGGGTAACTTTGGCTTACAAATGATAACCACTTTCTCGGTGGTTCACACTAAGCACTTGGGAGGAAGACAGACAGGTGAGTTTGAGGCAACACAGGCTGCATGAGACACTGTCTTAACACCAACCATAGGATCAGAGTAGCCAGATGTGCACAGGACATTTTTCCATTGCCCGACTTTGCTGTCTTATATTTATTTACTGTGTTTTCTTTCTTCTTCTTCTCTGATTGTGATTAGAAGCTGGGCTTATTGGACGGCTCCCAATGGATGAGAGCGATGGGAAAGAAGGAAGAAGGTGGACAACCACCGTCATCATCAGCTCATCGCTTAAGGTAAGCAGTCTTCACTTACAAAACCTGAACTCCAGATCAGAGTGTTTGAAACATCCTTGGCTCCAAGTACCCCCAGTTATAGGAACAGGAAGTAAATGTGCTAAATAGATTTCCCAATTAGTTATAAATGTTCTGCATTCACACTCAAAGCCTGATTCACTAAGTCTTTGCAAGCTGTAGCTGGCCAGTGTTGTCCTTGGTCTTACTGGCTCAGGCTTCACAGTTGCTGTGATGCTGAAGGCCCAGGCCTGCACCCCAGGTAAGGTGCTTGCCGGCACTTGCTGCTGCTCCTGCCCCTGTGCTCTGTATTTTCTGTACTGCCTCTTCTGAAAACAACTGGGTTTTTGTTATTGGTGCTTATCTTATTTACTTTTCTGAGACAGGGTCTCATGTAGCCAAGGCTAGCCTCAAACTTGCTATAGCTGCGGGTGACCTTCTCTCTTGATCTTCCAGTCCTCCTGTCCCTATGTCCCAAGTGCTGGGGACACAGGCATGTGCTGCCCTGTCTTGCTAGTGTGTTCTGATGTCTAATCCATCAGTGCACTAAATATTCACTGGGTCAGAACCTGCATGGTCTGAGCATTCAGCACATTCAGAGGTGCTCAGTGTTTTTGTTATTTTTGTGTTATTTGCCAAAAAGTTCCTAAGTAACAAATCTTTGTGATTCTTTGTTGAATGAGTTGGTTACTGTAGATTTTTCTTGTTGTTCTCTTACAGTGTCACTTGCTGACATTTTTGAATCATTATTAAAGACTGGACTGTGGCTTTCTCTTCTATACCTTTGCACAGAGGTGACGCCTTCCCTGCGTAGCCTCCCTCCATCCTGTAGCCATGTGCATAGGTAGCTTGGAGACAGAGTTTAAAGATACTTTCCTGGACTGGGAAAGTCTCTTAGTTGTAGAGCACTTGGCTAGGTTTGTGAAGCCCTGGGTCCAAGCCCCAAACCAGGAGGTTGGGGCGGGAGTGTGTACAAAATAAAGTTGTTTGTGTTCCTTTTCTCTTAAGAAATGTAGAAAAGAATGGTTTGTTAAGTTTTATACTTTTATAAGTTATACATTTGCAAATACTCATCCATATTATAGAGGTTAAATGTGTTAAGGTGAACTCGGAAATTTGCCGTTTCCAAGGGGAAGATTTTCTTATTGGAATTTTTTTATTTTCTAGTGAACTTTTGCTCAGTTAAGTGCTGTTTTCTATTTCTGTTTAAATCTATTTCCTTTCATGTGAGATTTTCTAGATACTAGTTTTGAAGAATATTACTAGGTGCTGTATATTCAGCAAGGTTGCAGGTTTTTTTACTTGTGGTGTATAAACAAATGAAGCAGGTTTTTAGTAAGCAGCAAGCACTGCTCTTCAGAACCTTTGATGGGCTCCAGAGCACTGGAAAACCACAAAGGCCGCAAACAAGTGCCCAGTGTTTTCTAGCCCTCACTGCAGTTTTGCTGGTGCTGAGGGTTGAGCCAGGCTCTGCTGGTAAGTGCCCCCGCTGGTGTGCTTGCTCGGCCTCTGGTCTAAACCGAACAAGTGGCATGTTTTCATGTCTCATGGATATGAAACAGAGTTTGGAAAACCAAGTCTTAAATTCTGGATTATTTCTAGAAAACTTTCAAGCTTCCTATTTTCCTCAATCCAGCACTTTCTCATTGTTGCTTTATTATTTTAGGGTTATACGTCATTAGCATAAGATATATGAATCCTCATGATTTGCAGCTAGTTTTTCCCAGCCTTGCTCTGAAGTTGCTACCATGTGTACCTGCCACTCACCAAGCCAGAGCATACATCTGAGTGCCTCTCTGCTCTTCTGCCTTGTCCCTCTCCCATTCGTCTTCTCTGTTGGTTTCATTTCTTTTTCTGCTTGATATACTCCTTTTTAATTTTAAAGATCTGATAAACATTTTGGCCAGCTTTGCTGGCTCTTGTGAATCTGTCGTATCCTTCCTATATTTTAGTTCTTTGCTAACATTTTCAACATCTTTCATGTCCTATTTTAGGGTATATATCTGTCAGCCCAATTAAATGGATCCCCTGTAGACCATTTTTCCTAGTGACTGTGGTGGTTCTCTTTCATGTCTTGGTGTGTGTGTGTGCATATGTTGTAATTTATATTTTTAAATTGTATAAGTAATTTGAGATCTATACTATATTTAGAATATGCTCTTCTTCCATAAAGGCCCTAATTCTGTAACATAATTAAATCGATACTCTGTTTGCCAGGCAAAACTGAAACTTTAATTTCAGGTGAATAATGCATATAATTCCTCAATATTACTTAAGATATATTTTAAATAATATAACAAAGCTGGCCAATGGTAGAGCATATGTGCAAAGCTCCTGATTTGATTCCAAGCACTATAAACAAATTTTACATTTGTAATTTAACTGAGTGTTGTTTCTTTTTATTTGCTAAATTTGACCAGCCAGGCTGTGTATTAGTTAACTAACCTTCTGAGCATCTAGAATGGTCCTAATTATGGAGAACAGGGAAAGCAGGCTGTTTTCTCCTGTGACCAGCAGACCTGCTTTGAGAGGCCCTGATTGAGAAATGCTTCTCCAGGGTGCTGGAAGTACTAGCAATTGGGTATCACTTTAATCCACTTCCCGGGATTGAAGTGGTTTGAGGCAGACAGTGCTCCTGTGAGAGCTGCTCTCCTTTTGTCAGAAGCTCTGCTCGGCTTTCCCTCTGTTCCTCTTGAGTTGGCAGGTACCCTGGGGGCAGAAATGGCCTAAATGTTGGGGTCATATCTTTGAATTTCTGTGTAGATCTTGCCCTTATGATTTCTCTCTATCCTACTAGCTTTTTGATGCATTGATACAGAGTTCCTTTTTGTTTTTTTTCAAACTGTCATTTTTCAGGTTCTTTCAGCAGGAGAGTTGGCCTAAATTATTGAATTTGCCATTGCTGGAAGCAGTATACAATTTAAAAACCACACAGAAAGGGCCATGGTTGAGCTCCAGGAGAAGGGCTCGGTAACATAAAATACTCTCTTTAGGAAGGAAAGGAAGCATGTATTTTAGACTAGTGCTTAAATTACATTGTTCTGAAGGAAGAATATAAGGTCAACTTAGGTATGGAGTTTGTGTGTGTGTGTCCGTGTGTGTAGTGTATTTGTGCGTGTGCGGGTGCAGATGCCTGCCCACACACTGGCGTAGGCCAGCAGAGGCTGCTGTGCTCGGCTTGCCTCCTGCTTCCTGGTGTTCTTGAGTCGGTCGCTGCATCTGGAGCTGGGTGGTGGCAGCAAGCCCAGTCCTGGTGTTTGGACACGTGTGGCCGTGCCTGGCTTTTCACATGCCGTCTGGGGGTTTGAACTCAGTCCCTAGTGCTTGCCCAGGAAGCGTTTCTCCCACTGAGCTGTCTCCCCAAGACCTCGGTGAACAAGCTGGAGTTCCAACCAGCTAGGAAATCTATCAACCACTTAGGTTTCCACCTTTTGACTGATACCATCCAGTTGTTTGGGTGGAATAGAAGTAAGGTAATTATTTTTAATGGTAACATTTAAATCAGAACACAGGTATGTCACCTTTGTTTTCTGGCCCACCCAGCAAGTGTAAGCACATGGATTAGGAAATTGGTTGTCGCCTGCATGGTGTTCTGCATTTCTGTAGGAGCTCCCAACGACCTCAGAAACAACCCCCGGCTTCTGCATTTGTCCACTCATGATGGAAGAAGCTTGCCAGCTCATTCCTTGGAAAGAATTGTCTCTCGTTCTCATAATTCTTAGCTCTTTAACAGTGCCCGTAGTTTTTGTCCCTAAATAACATTAACTCTTTCCAGATACATAACCAAAATTTCAATAGAAATAGTTTCACTCCTTTTTTTTTTTTTTTTTCGTTTATTTTGCCTCAGAGAGTAGATTCGTTTCTTTGGTGACCAGTCTTTAAGTGAAACTGTGATAAAACAAGCCATTAAATACTTTTAATTTTTTGCTAGCTGTAATAAAAATTATTTCAAGCATGTCTTACATTTGTGTTTCTGAAAATTCTTTTAAGAATTATGAGATTGCAACTGCCCTAGAAAATCGAAGCCACAAGGTTCGCTATTCAGATACATTGGAAAGTGGATCCATTGTATTTTCTCTTTCTGGTACAGTATATTTGTTAATTGCCTTTTTTTTTTTTTTTTTTTTTTTACTATTTTATATTTGCCAACTTAAGATTTTTGTAAAATATGTGGACGTTCATGCTGATTTGTGCAGTCTGGTAGCAGTATGAGTGCTAGGTATGTTATCTTCTGGAGGAGCACAGGGCTGTGCTTTGCTCTGGCCGCAGAAGCCGTTCGCATGGGCCTCGGTGGGACATGCCTCTTTAGTTAAGTGCAGTCTGGTAGAGGGTGGGAAAGGACTTGCTTTGGAACTGAGGTAAAAATAGAAAAGTGCACTTGCCCAACAGTAAATACAAATTGTTAGTAGAGGCAGCATATATCCCTGGACAGAATTTACAGGCCCAAGCAAATATGTGCTCTTTTCTCATTGTTTTGACTTTCTAAAAAAGTAAACATTGAAGAACTTTATGCGGACACAAATGCTCCTGAAATTATAAAATTGTGTGTGAGTCATGGCAGAGCACAGGAGTTAAATTAAGCTAAGATGGTTTGGGGGTGTGGAGGGACAGCTATGTCTGCGTGGGAGGGGACAGAGGGACGGAGGAGGGAAGCTCATCAGTGCACCATCACACCCAGCCAGCGTCCCAGGGCAGGGTGTCCCAGGGCAGGGTGTCCCAGGCCAGCCTGGCCACACAGCGAAACCATCACAAAATCAGAAAGAGAAATTCTTCTGTTAGGAGATCTGCCACTCCAGCAGAGATTGTGGAATTTCCAAATCTCCTAGAAAGACATTCATGCTGAAATTATCCAGATCCAAAATCAGTCCTCCTGGTTGACTAGAAAACTCTCTGGAGAGAAAAAAGTAAAGTATTTTTGGCGGCTTGTATGTGTTGGTTGTCATCGGTATGTTTATAACAGTACTCTGTCCGTGTTCTAGAGGACAGTGACATTCTGAGGTTACATAAGTGTGCACGTGCATTTAGTCAGAATGGACTCTCACGCTGCTTTCTAAGGATTTATCTTACCTACAACTCCTGAACAGCTATAACTAACCCCAGTTCCCTCAACACCATCTGACAAGCTGGGCCCGTCTCGGGCTCCAGGTATCTGCTCATTTGATTGTATTAATTTACATGGTTCCCGAGCTTCTGGGAGGAAGGTTTCTTCAACAAGCTATAATTGGAGATTTACTGTGAACTTCTTTTTTCTCACTGACTCTAGCCTCTGACAGTCACTACAGGGTCTTCCGAGTCACTGAGTGTGTGCCCTGCTTGTCAGGTAGTGGCTGTGGGCGGACACTCAGCTCCTACACACTGCCCCGGTGTGTCCTCCTTTGACTGTTTGCTTGTATCCTTTGGGACAGCCTTTCTGACAAGCCAGTCAATGTTTTCAAAAAAGTTAACTATGAAAGATTTTTTTTTTTCGAGGCAAGTTCTCATTACATAGTTCTGGATGGCTGGTTTGATAGCTCAGGATGGTGTTGGACCGCAATTCTCCTGTCTCAGTCTTCCATATGCTAAGATTCTAGGCGTGCACGGCCACACCTGGCTTGAAGGGTGAACTTTTAAAATAGACTTAATCTTTTAATTAAAACTAGGCATCACCTTTATGTGCCCAGTGTTTTTCCTTTAAATATTTAGAACAAGTAATTCTGCTATAGAGAGCATGTCAAAGAATTATTCAAACCATTTTGCTGTATAAGAATTGTAATAACAGGTTCTGTTCCTTGTGAGTTTGAGGTCCTGATCTCTTTGAGCTTATGAAATTTGTTCTATGTAATGTCATTATATTCACTTTTTCTAGGAGTTGCATTTTTATTGATGGATGCTAAAGAATGTATGATATCAGCTGAGGAAATATTTCTAACCAAAATTGAGAAGTTTATTAACATTCACCAAAACAGTTTTTTGGTTCTGTTTGCCCCACTCCATGGGCCTGAGGAATGGAATCTCATGTTCAGGATTCAGCAGAGGTAGGAAGCACGGCACAGCCACTTCTTCTTATGCTGTTTTGTTTGCTTCAGTTCCTAATGTTTTTAGCCACTTGAGTTTTCTTTTGCTCAAAGAAAACTATGTTTGAGTCCTATGTACTCAAACAGGGCAGGCAGCTATTCCTTATGTCAGGGTGACTGGAGTGGACATTGAGCACTGAATTCTGGTTATACAGAATTCTACTTCAGTCTTCTGAGACACAGTGCAGGGTGTGACTGAACACGTGACGAAAACAGAGCTCTGTCCCCTCCTTGTCCTGCCTGTGACAGTAAGTGTCAAGTCAGTTACTTAACCACTCTCTTTTCAGATTCTTGGGCAGTAACTTACGAGTACTTCCCGTGCATAACACAGTAAATGCCATTGACCTTATGTGCACTATAGCCAAGGTAAGCCACCTGGGGAAAAAATACTCACCCACAAATACATGTCTTAGCCAGAGATTTTAAGGTTTTGTTTTTAAATACATTTTTTGAGATTTCATTTTTTTCCTCCATTTGCTCCTGTAACGGCCCCATACACTCCACTCTTTCAAATTTATGGCCTCTTGTTCTTTGTTGCATGCATATGTGTTCCTAAAACCATCCACATAACCTGTTCAGCCCTGTGATGTTACTTGTACCTGATTTCCAGGCTGGCAGCTTACTATTACAGAACCAATTTGGGGTTTCCCCCCGGAAAGACTTTTTCTTGATCTCGGCATCTTTGAGTTGCCTGCAGTTCTTTGTCTGGGCTTGGGGCCTCCTGAGCTTTCCCCATCATGTCATCATTTCTGATGGTGTCACCCTTTCTAGGTCGTTAACCATCATGTTGATGGGACTTCATGGCTGCAGCTTCTGATATTCCTAGGAGACACAATCTTGCAGCAAACACCCTGTTCTTCTGGCTCTTAAAATCTTTCTGACTCCTTTTGCAATGATCCCCGAGCCTTGGGTGCAGTTGTGTGGTAATTGTATCCGTTGAAACTGGGAATTTTAATCTTTACTATTCTGGCAGGTCAGGTACTTCTCCATCACTCCAATTCACACAAAAATTTTTAGCGTAGATATCAGGAGACATTTACTGAATTATTATCATTTGAGGCAGGATTTCACTCTACCTCTAGGTAGCCTGAAACTCCCCATGTAGACAAGGCTGGCTTCAAACTTACAGATATCGACCTGCCTCTACCTCCCAAGCATGTGCCACCACTCCAACAGAATGAATTTTGTAATATATAATCCTACAAAAATACTGTTTCTGTAAATAATGCTATATGTTAACATCTTCTTTCAGACTTCCTCCAAACCAAACATAGACAGCATCTGCTACAGAATGATAACAACTAAAGCTTACATCATAGAGCAAAGCCCTGTGTGGAGAACACTCCAAAAGATAAAGCTGAGCACTGATGCAATCAGTCCAGAGTCAGAATACTAGCATAAGTGTTCTGTTGGAAGAATATCAAAATAATTTAACTCATTAAATTATAATGTTCAAATATATACTTAAGGGCATTTATGTGTACACAATTAAACGTGATTTTACTTTGGGAGTTTGGTATTTAGGAGTTTAATATTTAGGAGTGTAGCTGTGTGGCACAGTGCTACCCTAGCCCTTATTTAGTCAACCCTACAGGAAGAAAAAGAGAAAGTAACTGATACATACATAGCTTCTTAATGGTACCAAGTGATGTACAAATCTAGTAGGAAATGAAAGCATGGAATTTATTGGCTGGATTAAAGGAAAAGCCATGTCCATTTTTGGGGTTTTCTAAAATTAATCTCTGCAGGCATTTTCACACATAACTGCTAAAGACACTTTCTAAGCTCCAGGTTCATGTGCTGGAGGGTAGTCTTTAACTAGTACTCCCACCAGCCACAGCACTGGTGACCGCAAGAGCGCTTCCAGACATGAAGAGGGAGGAGGTTAGGAACCCAATCAGCTGTTCTGAAGCACATGGCTGCATCTCCACAGTGGTGTGGAATCCAGCTAGACAGTAGGTGCTCTAGAGTGCTAAAAGCATCCAACAAGTAGAAAGGGTACCTGGCTTTTTCTAAACTCAAGCATGTGGATGAATAAAGCAGTTGACTACATTTTTGAAGTTATAAAACAAATTAGTCTGTGTTGTAGCTTCTAAAGTAGTACTTCAGCTCTTTAAAGAATTATTTTATGTGTACAAAGGTTTTGCCTGAATATATGTGTTCCACTCGGGTGCCTGGTGCTCACAGAGGCCAGAAGAGGGTGCACGGCCTCTGCATCTGGAGCTGTAGACGATTTAACCTCCCCATGGGTGCTGAGACCTGGATCCAGGTCCTCTGGAGAGCAGGGTGTGCCCCTAACCACGGAGTGGTCTAACACCGTGTACCACTGGGGGGCACTAGATGCTGACAAGCCAAGAAAAATAAAGAGTTGCATTTCCTAGCAGTAAGTTTCTGCAGATACGGCAGTAGAAAGTGTACTGGAAAACAGCATTTTATTGACTTTTATTTATGAAACAGAACTGAGCTGTCCAGCACCTTCTTCAGAGGGAGACTTGGTTTTGATTTCAATGAGTTCTTCCACTCGAGCCAGGACACTTTCCATCAAATCAAATGTGAAAAGAGCTGAATGTAAGACCTGAAAAGCCAAGGAAAGAGCATCACGGTTCCCGTAGTATCTTTCCAGGGACAGATCTCCCACCCGCAGCCCTGTTTCAGCGCCCCACACCTGCAGAAATCTGGGTTATTAACGCTGCTTCTAAAAGCTACCGCAGACCCAGAGGTGCGGCTTCAGATGCCGGGGTTACCTTAAGCTGCATTTCAGGAGGCATGGTAGGGATTTCTTCTCCACCTACAGTCACAGAACAAACCCCTTTACACGTGGAGGCTACTGCAGGGAAGAGAAAGACGGTTCACATTTAGCTAGTAACAGTCTGTAGTTTCCGCACTGCGCGTTTGTAGTGTTGGGAGTCGACTGCTGCGCCACTCCCAGCCCCAACTCTCAGACTTACTACATGCGCCTCTTTAGTGTGTGTGTGTGTGTTGGGGGAGGGGTGGCCGAGGACAATTTGGAGGAGTTGGCGCTGCTCTTCTACCCCTTGGCTCCACCCAGGCCTGAAGTCAGGTTGGGAATGTCAGATGGCAGCGCCTTCTCTCGCTGAAGCACCCTGTTATCGCTCAGATCCCAACAATACATTTCCGAGCTGTTTGAATCATGACTAGTTTGAGATGTGCCGAGAGGTGACGCTGTAGGGAATATGTGTTAGAAACAAGGTTGAACACTAGAATTCAGCAACATGTGAACTGATTCTGTAGAGAAACGGTTCGACTCGACAGCGCAGGCCACGTGCAGCTTTCTTCGGTACGCTGGTTTTTGCCCGTACCTACAGGACGGTTTCTGCCGAAGCCTGCACAGGGACTGTAACAGACTGCAGCAGAACTGCACCTGTGCAGAGGGCACACCGAATCCAGTCTTTTATACAGTGTGTACAGGTTTACTTCGGGGCCGTGAGGGCTGGGCCACTGGATGCGGGTGGAATGCCGGAGGGGCTTGCAGTGCACCCAGCTCACACTCAGAGCTCAGGCCCCACATCAGGTGTTTCAGCCTGGTGTAAGTCTCCACTGACCCAGTTTCGGGACTGGCTAAGAATCATTTTAACCACAAATACAGCTTTCACGGCCCCCACGTCTGCATAAGCAAACATGCACTAAAGCGTGACCGTGGGGCTGGAGAGCCCGCCCAGTGGCTATGAGCACTTAACTGCTCCAACAGAGAACCTGGGTGTCCCCAGCACCCAATGGGGGCCCAAAGCACCAGTAGCTGCAGTTCCGGTGACTCAGCAACCTGACTGCCATGGTTCACGCACACACATAATACACTCAGGCACACACAGCAAGTGAACACTTGAACAGAAAATAAAAGTGCATAGTCCCAACCTTGGCTGTTTTGTTGGTTGTTCTTAATCTCTGCTTCGTAATGTGCTTTTGACATATTAAGTCCTAGATGAAGCGGCTTCAGGAAGTTGTTTTCAATCTTCCCGAGCTCTGTCCATAGTCCAGTCTGTTCAGAAGACGTAATGAGCAAGTCAGTCACGGGGGTCAGCACACACAGGCACACACAGGATCCCTGTTAGCAGACTCCCACGGGGAGGAGCCACAATTACACCGTGTGTCACCTAGGGTGTGTCAGCCGGAAGTGCACACTAGGACAGGGTGTGCAGCACACTGCTCCTCAGTGTCCACCTGAGTGACACTGATACTGAAATCTGTGCTCAACTGGGATCTCCTACAGCTTTCTATAGTACGGACCATCTCCTCAGCAAACCACCATTCACAGGCCCAGCCAAGGGCCACAGATAGGTGACAGGAAAACACGGACTGTGAAACTAACAGCGGAGTACTCGGCACTTCAGAAAGACAGGTGACACGGGAGTTAATCTGAGGTAAAGTACGGGACTCAGGCCGCACGTCATCACCTCTCACAAGCAGGACACAAAGACATGAAATACAAGAGGGTCTGAGAGGAGCAAAGAGCTAGTGGGAGGGAGGAGGCAACAGCAGAGGATCACCGCGATGGAGGTGTCTATGAGGAAGGGGTTCACCATGATGGAAGTGTCTATGAGGAAGGGGTTCACCATGATGAAAGTGTATATATGAGGAAGGGGGTTCACCACGATGGAAGTGTCTATGAGGAAGGAGGCTCACTATGATGGAAGTGTGTCTATGAGGAAGGGGGTTCACTGCGATGGAAGTGTATATATGAGGAAGGGGTTCACTATGATAGAAGTGTGTCTATGAGGAAGGGGTTCACCACGATGGAAGTGTATATATGAGGAAGGGG